AACACCAACTAGCGGACAAGCATAGTGCCAACGCCACAATAACAATAACATTAACAATCGTAGGGGATGGGTGGATTAGGATACAGAACAGAGTGAAAGGAAGGTAAAACAGTTAAAACGGAAAATAGTACATAGATGGAATAACAATTTTTTTGTGTTTCACCATCTCCGAAAGCCTCAGTATGGTCGGGGGTGGATGTCTAGGGTTGAGGCTGGTTATCCTACCTTTGCACCTCACGAAATGCTCCCATACGACCAAACGTCTCAAATAGCCGATATCCGGGTTGATGGACTACTGGTAATTCACCTAGGGGAGTTGGCCAACAACCCTGATTCCAAACCAACCACGAAGAGGAGTACGAACCACATCCAAACCTTTTCGGTTGTGGCAGTGGTCACCGGCTCGATTGGGCACCTCTGACGTCTGACCCCGTCCAAAGAGCGTATGATCCGATAAATTAGACACCGGCCCCTAATGGATTGCGGTTTTCACACACCGCCTCGCTGCCTTGCGGGTCAGGCTCTGGCTAGCCGAAAGCTGCGGTTGTGAATTCCTCAAGGAAATTCACCTGCCTTGACCTGGGCAAACTGGCAGTATCAAGCCCACAAGCCAATCATGGAACGCTTTACTTTTTCCTAAAGATTATTGTACCATGATTTGCCTGGCACACAGTCTGTCCTCAGACAAGTGTGAAATATAATAATAATAACAGATCACATAAAATGACCGCCTACATCTATTACCCGCACAGAAAAATTTCACAACATCTACCGATGACTGATTTTTATCCATTCATTACTATACTAAAGTGAAATAGAGTAATGAGAGCGGTGGATATCCTTACGTTTTTATGTATTGTTACGATTTGTGGGAAAGCCCAGGCCGGTAAATAAATGCTTACTTAAGATATGAACAAACGGTCAGTTTTACAATAAGCTCAGCCTTCTGTACAATCCGCTATGACGACCCCAGGATGTGCAACCATGATATCTTGAATCAATTGATCGATCATCTCACCGCACAACGGACAGGAGGATGTAGGTGTCGAGTTGTGCTCCATGTCATCTATAAAGTGAATTGCCCGGTCGAATCCTTTGTTCAAAAGTTGGACCACCGACATTAAATGTGTTGGGCAGCTGCGTAGTTCCATCTAATGTGAAGAAAAATTGGAGATATGGGTAAAACTATTTGAAGTCCTGGATATAATTTTAATTGCAATTGGAAAAATGAAGAAAACTCATGAACTGCAATTTTATGAATCACCATGGAAAAACTCAACTGGCAGTGGTAGTTGCTTCCTATTATGTGAAATTCTGTCGTGCAATGTAAGGCTGCGTTTGTGGGGAAAATGTCCAAGTACTGTTGTTAAAAAGTTGCCATCGCTTTGGATTTGAACGGATACTAATTAATGCGTGTGCCATACGGCATCAAATGAACAATCTAAAGGAGTCTTACTGATTGCTTTGGTGGCGTTACTAAGGTATCCAGCTAATCTGCAGAAACTAAAAATCAGGTGCACGAACTGCCCCAGGTAACCCAGACAGCGATAGATGCCGGCGCGCTCAGTGGACGTAGCATTCTGGGCGAATCACGCGCGAAGGGTCTGGCACCCAACGGACTTTTATACACACCGCATCGCCCAACCCCCACTCCACTTGTGAGTTGAAATTCAACTAACGGAAAGTTCAGCCGATGAACAGCTCAAAAATCGAAGACTAAGTCCAGTAGGTGAAACAAGCTGTTTTTCGATAAACTCATAAACTGGCCGTTACATTTGAAAAGGGTTATATATGGCTTACAAGACGAATCAATCAAGGGTTGCGTCAAACATTGGCAACGGCTGAGCTGCAAGTATCTCCAGAAATACGGTTCCATCTCAAAGATAAATTGCTTCCCCCCCCCACCTCAAAGCGTAATCCATGTGTCTAAACGCGTTCACTTGCTCCTAAGGAGCGAGCTACATCGGCCGAACTACGAGGTAGCTATATCAAAGAGGATACACGAACACTAAACCAGGACAACGAATACCAGAGACACAGCACTCAGCTGACGTTGATCGGCCTGTGCACATCATTTGTCACAAACCTTCCTATGCCGAAATGACGTCGGTTTATCAGTCCATGCACTTCCGAGGCGAACGCTATACAAACGTCAGATCCCCCCTCTCTAAACAATCGTTCGGGCTCTAGATTTGCCATGGCCTCGAAAGAAAACCCATAATACACATAGAGGGGAAGCATCAACAACCTAGCTGAGACGATGATCAGGTAAACCAACTTAGTATACACGCTGTACAGTTTGATGTGATGAAAATCAGACGGACGAACACAAATAACCCTATATGATTGCAATGACCGGGTGATGAATTAATCGATAAACAGCTTGTTTCGTCCACCGGACTTTGGTTTCAATGTGGTAGTGAGTATTCTCCATTTACTGAGATCCTCAGAAATTGTTTAACTAGACTTGAGTAGCCTGGAAATTTTGCACCCACTGACAGCAGTAAATAATACGTTCCATGATTGCTCCGTAATGTCTAAACCCAGATAATAGTCCCTCATAAATACACTTGTGTCGTTAAACAACATAAGTGGTAGTTAAATTTCCTAAGTCAGCCATATAAACCTCAAATTATCCCCTACATCACGTTAAAAGACGACTATCATTTGTGAAGGATTTAATTAGAGCTAATGGAAATACTTATTGTCAATGAATGTACTAATACATGCAGGATTACCTGTGATCGGTTTAGGTGATAGAATAGTGGCATGTATGAGCTTTCTTACATCAGCTGAGAAGTCAATCCGCGGCTTAGTCGAAGTCAGAGATTTTCTGGATCAGCACTTGTGTGAACTAAAAATGACCTATTAATTCCACTAACTAATCGGCTCAGTAATTTCGATAGAATCTTTATTAGTGGGTAGAGACAACTGTTAGTCTGGTATCATTCAGTAGTCAATGTATCATAAAAGAGTAGAAAATGGATCCCTTCGTGTTACGACTTGAATAGCTTGCGCTTGTTTGGTAGAGCTTGAAACCAGATGATATATATAAGTCGCTCGTAAAACTGACAAGTTTAAGTATTGAACAAACTCCACTTCATCATCGTTCTCTACCTCTGAACCCGAGAAAATAAACGTCATGACCGAAGTATTCGTAACTTGCGTACATATGATTAATTCTCTGTGATTATTTATTGTGATGCTAGATTTGATTTATTAGTCATTGGATGCATCACCGAATATGAACTTGATTGTTTTTCTCGTATTCCCCACACAATAGGCGAAGACAGTGAACCCGGTGATTCAGTGGTTCCAAATGAGAAGGCTAGACCGTTTGTAGTTTAATCTGGTGAAACTGGGTCAAATGACAGAAGTATGATAGCAACTCACAACCCTCTCATTAATCAATCGTCTGTGAACCCAGCAAAAGAAAGAACGACCGTTTTGTATTGACCTTTTTCTGAGCGTGAAAAGCAAGTCGTAGCCTTTAGTTATTGCAACATGAACTGAACTGACGGTGACAAAGCATATCTTAACTGCCTGAGAATCAGTTCTGAGTTTTCAGGAAATGTGCATGCTGTCTCGTCTTTCTTTCCACCCAAAAAAGTGTTCCAGTGAGTAACGATCGAAAATCCGGACTGACTGGAGCGTGAGGAATATGCAGAAGGATCACCCAGTTAGGACAACCATCGTTAGTTGACGATGTGATTGGGTCTGACTCAGTTTCACCAGACTGAACTGCACACAAACTAGAAACGAATTTTCTATTCAGAATTGTTTCCAAGCTAATAAATCACCCGGTAGCCAGAGATATACAAAAATCGTTTTTAACGAAAGAGCGCAGCAGTTTTTTAGTGGAACGTATAGAATAATGAAGCGAACAAAATAAAACTTAATCAGCTCAGAGAAACGTGCTAACGAAAAACAAAGATGCAGAAGAAAAACGAAACAGTAATCAAATTAGTTGGTTTGTACGTACCTGGTTGAGTTTTTCTTGAGCCTTGATCAGAGCGTTTCTACTGTATGGCAAACATAAAAGTTCTGTCATATCGAAATTAAGTAATTCAGTAAACGTCTCTCCCGTTTGTTTCACAGCAAGTTGGTTTTCATCAGACAGCAACGGTAATTGCTTTGAAATAACGGAAACAAAGCAATGTGATAATGTACAAGCCAAAAGCATACGGATGTCATTTCGACAAAAGACGACGGAACAGCTGGTAGCTGAAGACTGAACTAATTTCCTTAGTATTCGCATGAAACGAAGTTCACAGTCCATTTCGGATGGTCCGTCGAATATGCCTTCTTCTATTATAATCTTCAAAATCGATTCCATGAGAGCGATATACTGTTCGACGAGAAAATCCATTGAAGCATAAGCTGAACTTTCTGTCACAGAATCCGGGCTTTCCGTCAAGATTGAGAACAAACGCTCGCTGAGTATGGTCAAACTTGTCATCAAACAGCTTCGACAGGTTTGCTTTAGTGGCGAACCCCCGCATTGCTTGTCTCTCGTGTTCGCGCTAATATGAAATCCATGGCGTAATAAAAGAAGTGTCACATGAGTATCCATTGAACTTTCAGACAGTCGATTTAATTGCTGCACAAACTTTAAAACTTCTTCGATATCCGTCAACGTAGCACAAAGTTTTTCGGCCGTATGCAGCACAGCGCCCAGTTCAGCTGCAACAGAATACCTTGAATCCGAAACCAAAGCACTGAGGGATCCGGAAATCGAACGCAGCAGATTTGAATCGGATGGTGTGAGGAAAATGCTCAGTATATACCACATGTTGCGAATGGTCTCTGACCCTGCGTTAGACGACGTTGATTGATTGGGAGCAAGATCTCTTAACAAGAAGCTATGTAAAATGTGATTTGAAAAATCGGACAGTGGGATCGAACACTGAACTCGCGCACAACCACTAATGGGTGTGATTAATCTATCCAGTTCTTTAGATGGTCCCATAGACAGAAGAGAACTGACTGCATCCGACCAAGAGGCTAAAACCAAATTCCATAGAAAGCCGGAGGGTGGAACACCGTGGCGTAAGTATATGTAGATAGTTTGCGTACACAACTGGGTCCAATTGGGAAGGTCAATGAAGAACTGCTTCGATTTCTCGCTTGCTTCGTCTGAGACATGAATGGCATTGACGCAGAACAAGTACAAAACTTTAGCGACACGAGTAGGAGAAGGATCTTGAAAGATACTTCGAAATGAAATACTGGTTAGTTCGATTGGTGTTGAGGTGACGCCAAATTTTTGACTCAGTTTTACTTTTGTCAACAGTATTGCCAGAGCTTCGTCGGTCAGAACGTGTTTGCCTTTGCACAAGCTCAGAGGAATATCCAGGAGTGCCGAATGGGCAATAATATTGGTTATCGATTTCTTTATATGAATATTCTTTGTGCTGTGAAGTTTGTCACATAAGTGTGCACATATTTCTTCATCATATAGTCTCGAAAACAAATATAGATCGTTGATAGCATGTACTTCCTCCAACCAATAGTTCGTCACCTCGAACAGAACTGACATACTAAAGTCATCCATTATTAGTTGCTTCACCAAATTAAGCGAATCGTTTGGGCAACTGGGACTGCTGATAATGAGAGCAACTAAAACTTTCATCGAGCTCAGTTTAGAGCGATTTGATTCCTGTGTGCTACTCATAATCCTTTGTAATAACTGTCTCCATTCAACATCAGTTTGATTGGAATAGTCCGTTGAATGATCATGATGGCATTTGTGACGGCAAACCAATGATCGACAAAAACGGTTGATCAGCGTATCGTCCAGCGTATCATTACAACCTTGGTCGATTGCACGGACTAGCTGTTGGATCGGGGTCATCACTGCAAAAAAGTATACCTATTTTAGTTGCTGCACTCACAAAAGAACAGGCTGTCAAACGATGGCCCCAAATTTAACTAACTTCATTAACCGATTTGCTCAGAGTTTGTAACACAATAAAATAGGGATATTGAGCGGTTCGATTTGTAGCAGGTGCGCACTGGAAAGTTAGAGTGAGTTAACTTGAAAGTTAGAGGTTTGGATACTGTGAACACCAGCCCTCCTCCATCTCTGATGACTGTCACGCGGTCCAATACACCTGACTCATTGATATCTGTTGAGGAAACCTTACCCAGCACCTTACTGGTATTTCTCCACTCACTCGATCGTGAATTCCCGGGAGAGATTTCCTGCCTTGACCTGATCAACTTAGCAGTATTCTGCCCACAAACAAACAATATAACTTTTTTTCTTTTTATAAAGATTACGGTATTATTTGCCTGGCAAACAAAATGCATAGTATATGACAAAGTAATAGGCGAAGAATATACATCATGGAGAGCAGTTAGAGTATTTGCGTTATTTTAAATAGCTGAAACCGGCGTGGATTTCAAGAACTACTCAGTAACTGTACTTTACGTGATCCCAGTTCAATTGAGTTTAGTATTCACGGAGGTTTCCCTCATTCTTGTCAGGTTACTAACCGGTATGCGACGATAACACCTATATGGGCAGTCTTGTTTGGCATTGACGGTTGAAGGTATATCATTGCATACTCAAGCTTATATCTGACTCGGGATAAATACAAAACTCTGGAGGCATCCAGTGTCAACGGATTAAAAGATCTTTTAATAGGTTCCATTATGCTCCAGGCTATGAAGCAGATCAGGTTTAGTTTTTACAACCATTGAAAATGCACTTTTGTGTGGCCGTTTTGGTTGTTCTACTTGGGAAGAACAGAATGTTGAAATTAGTGCCTGAAACAAAATAGGGAAGTTCTGGTAGATTATTGTTACCAAGAGACTGAGAAAATGCCCGAAGACGCACACCACATCGACATTATCTTGGGTATTGGGTACGGAAGTCAAAAGAACCTATGACTCTTTCGCACGATAGTACCTGGAACGCTGCAGACTCACACCGAGCCAGCACGCTCGAGGTACAGGAAAGCACACTTATCAATATTTACAGGAAGGGTTAGTGTATCTACCTACGGAACCAGGAGTTTCAGATCCTCCTGATGTAGTTTCTTATCCTCGAAATCTCGTATGCTGTTCCAGGTTTTGAAGCAACTGGCGTGCTTTAG